AAACAGGTACATTTGTGTGGTGATGGATTATTTCACCAAGTTGCCTGAGGCATATGCAATGCCAAATCAGAAAGCTACAACATGAAGCATGAAGCCACTGGATATACTCCAGCAAAGTTGATGTTTGGTCGGGAACTTCGATTGCCAGTGGTTCTGTTAACAGGACGCCCACCTTACGAACAGTTGTCTGAAAATGTGTCAGAGTTTGTGAAAGTGTTATCAGAAAGGATGGATAATATTCACCATCAAATGTGTTGAAACTTGAAAATGTCTGCTGATTCCATGAAGCTATGTTATGATAAGAGATCTACTGAAGTCAGCTTTTTATCAGGAGACAAGGTGTGGTTGTATAATCCCAGGAAGACCAAAGGGAAGTCTACTAAATTGACTTCTCCATGGGAAGGCCCATTTGACATAGTGGAAAGTCAGAGAGAGGGAAGAGGGCTTTCTCTGACAAATTTATTGATATCTCAACTAATCTATAAGTTTATATTTTAGATTCTTGCTTGTCATTATGTATAATTTGTGTTTTTAATTGGTTAGAAACTATAGAAGCCTCATAATTAACTGTCAAACATTCTTTTCATTAAAACTTTATATTTGATCTGTTATTTCCTGTACTGTAACATTATACATGATTCTCCAAAATTAAAGGTTGCAATGTGCAAAAATAAAATGTGTGATCCCAAAGTTTCAAAGAGTTTATACTTCTCAACTTTTCACACCTATTTCCTATGTTTATATACTGTTAGCAGCTGAAGTAGAAACCTCCTGAATGTAAAGCTGTGAATCACTGCTCCTTACTTAGTTTGACACCGTCAATATCAAATAAACTCATCCTGTGGAATTACCAGAATTTTTCCTGCTTTTATTTATCAACATGTTGACAGTATAATGGTTACAACGAGAATTTTCAAAAGTATTATAAAATGTTTATGTTGTAGAAAGTCTGGGCTGATCCAATAAGTTGATAAGTGGATGTATCCTACAGAATCCATTCAAATCCTAGCTCAGAAAACATAGTGGGGTAGAATTTATTGGCTTCTTTACAGTACAGTGGTTGCAACAAGAATTGTCTGAAATACTTTATAAAAGTAAGAGAAGATATTTGTGATATGTACAAAGTTGTATCTGATCCAACAAACTTGTTAAGTATTTGGATAATAGTTAACCTCCTGGATGGCTGGGATTTAGCATTGGAATAGGTGTAAATGTGCATAAGTGCTTATGGACATCCTGTTTCCTTTATCATCATGCTTCGATAAAATTAAAAAATGCTTCTAAATAATAAATGTGTAATTTCCAGTAATGAAAATGTGGCTTATTTTGATTAGGCTAGTATTCTTGGCTTAGCCTTCTTGATTGTAACTTTATAAACATTATTTACCAGTGAATTGCAAGCTGTACCAGGTGTTTATGAAGTATTACCTCCAAGTAAGTAAACTTGGCTACTGTACATTACATATGTATATATTGTTACGACAGCGGAAGTCACGTAATGCTGGGAGCATGTGCACTGGAGTTTCTCAAATTATCGGGAAACCCCGCAAATGTCTGAGTGTTTGCTAGATGCCCTCTTTTTAGTATATAAGCCTGGCAAAGAAAGCCAGCGAGATAGATAGATATAGATGTAGATAATTGAGTCAACCGAACAGTAGTGACATTGAGCTGTAAATTGTGTGTGTTTTGCAGTCGTCACATAGAGCGAAGTTATCGAGCTAGTGAAACAATGTGATTTATCACGTGTATTATAAAAGTTGTTAAGTAAAGAGACGAGAAACGTATTGATTATGAAATTAAGTGTATTACAAAGTTGTATCAAGTAAGAATAAACTAGTTTTAATCAAGAAGGGACTCGTATCACTGATGTTTCTCAGAAAGAATTTCTAAGGGAAATTAACAAACAAGTAGATATGTAACAATATATATATATATATATATTATTATTATTATTTTCAAATAAATACTTAAATGTCAGTTATTTTTCTTCAAATGTAGAACAGTAAATAAAAAATATTTGGTAAACAAATTATGATGCTACTTTGTTCTTGTTTGTGCTTGTGAGCCATCATTGTTAAGCCTCATCCCAAATCACATGTGAAGATGGAGAAATAATAATTTTTGTAGACTTTATATAAGCATTTTGGAATCGAAAAAATTATAATTTACTCTACCAATACCCCAAGTATCCACTGTAATTTATCAGATTTCCTAACTAAATTGTATTTGGGTCTAAAACTATATAATTTATATTTGAAAAATAGCCTTGATAGCAATACTTCAAACTGTCCAATGATATAAGAGCTTTTCTCTTGTAAATAACTTTGGAAGAGTGACAGAATTATGTAGAAGAAATGTATAGCTTTTGATTGGTTATAATGTTGTTCGTTTACAAAAGTAGGCATAGATAAACAAGTCTTCTCAAATGATGAAGTGGTGGGCAGAACCAATATGGTGGGTTCGCTAAGTATTATGATATCTCGGCAAATAGAAAATGTAATCTGACCATACTCAGATGATTTAGCAATTTTAAGTAACTAAATTAACTAATGTATAATACTAAAATTTGAATTGAAATCTACAATTTGATACCAAGTTTATTGACATACATTCATAAAATACTAGTTCAATAAAATTTTGAATGTATGTATACAAAAGTCCTTAAGGCAGAGGAGGCAGCATTAATTGTGAAAACATTTTATGGTTCAGAGAGAAAGGTTATTTGTAATAAATACAAAAAACTTTCTCTTAGTCCACAAAGCCAAAAGTCTACATAGACATTTAAAATTTTTCTCAGCTATAACTGATATTATGATTGACTAGTGAAAATATTTCTAAGATATAAAATCATGACAAAGTATTTTCAGCATCGATTGATGTTCACTTTCACAAGTTTATTTTCATAATACAGATTGTTCTATATCTGTTTAACTGGAAGTCTATTCACAATCAGGATACAGCAGTGATGTAACTTACATACAATTACAGTGATGTAAGTTACATACAATTACAGTGATGTAAATTACATACAATTACAGTGATGTAAATTACATACAATTACAGTGATGTAAGTTACATACAATTACAGTGATGTAAATTACATACAATTACAGTGATGTAAGTTACATACAATTACACTGATGTAAATTACATACAATTACAGTGATGTAAATTACATACAATTAGAGTAATGTAAGTTACATACAATTACAGTGACACAAGTTACATACAATTACAGTGATGTAAATAACATACAATTACAGTGATACAAGTTACATACAATTACAGTGATGTAAGTTACATAAAATTACAGTGATGTAAGTTGCATACAATTACAATAGTGAGTAACTTATGCAAGTGCTTGTAAAAATGAATGGCTTACTACTCTTAACCCATTGACTGCTGATTCACCAGCTGTTGAATGCGAGTGTGTCGTATACAGTGTACAGCTTACACAAATTCCATGACCATTTAGAGCAGGTGCAGTCAATGCACATATTTAACTTGTTAGTAAAAAAAAATTCTTATACAAACTAGTCAGTGAGCTGTGGACCACGACTAAAGAAAAAGCAGTTTTCTCTGCTTTTACAGATAAAAACATATCTATCAGATTGAAATACCAATACTATTTAATATATATATTTTATTTAGATGCAAGCATGGGTTCACTCCAAACAGTTACCAGGACAGTTCACAGGCAGTACTGATGCCAGGATTCTTTCACCTGAAGAGCTTAGTGGACCGTATCAAGCCTGGGCAAGGAAGGTATATTTATTGTTAAATAGCCTTACACGTACTTGAAAGTTTAACTTTTGTCTGATTAATAATTATTGTTTCTTAACAACTGGAATCTGTCTCTAGTAATAAAATAGTAATTAACTTGGGTTTCTGTGTGAGGTTTTAGTTTTATCTAAACACAAAGTATATAGTTAACTTTTGAAGACCTAAATAGTGAGGTTTTAATTTTATCTAAACACAAAGTATATAGTTAACTTTTGAAGACCTAAATAGTGAGGTTTTAATTTTATGTAAACACAAAGTATATAGTTAACTTTTAAAGACCTAAA